GAAATAAAATCCTCGATAAGTGTAGAGCTGAATTAACGGTGAGAGGGTGGAGCTGGTGTTGCGCACGGACGAATACAAACCGTCCAAGGGTTTAGTAATATAGGTAAGAGTACTGATAAATAGAGCTCGTTCTCGGCTTTGCTTTGCTCTGCTAACTTTGTATGGAGATGTGGCTGTATATTTTATGGATATGTGGATGTAGATGTAGTTAGCACACCGAGCGATGAGTACGTCGACAATGAACAAGTAGAAGGGAATATCAAATGAAATGGTGAATCAAACAATCTCGACGGGAATTTGCATCTTTGCCTCCGAGAGCTTTCCAAAAACTTTTTAGCTGTTTTTGTTATTATTGAAGCTTCGGATTTACTGGATAAAGATTAGTATGGTCTTGAATTATTTTTACAAGTCATTAGGTATTTTAAAATGGACTTTAGTAGGTATTAAAAGGATTTATGTTTGTCGCTCTAATGGAACAAAAGTGCTTTACTATGTAGTTTTTATTCGTTGGAATGATAGGAATTATTTTTTTAATACAAGCTGATGAGAATTTTTTTGGAAAAAATAAATATCGATAAGCCATTGATTTTTTTATGACCTTATATGTCCTGAGATGGTCATACATTTTCTTAATGGAAAAATTATTTAGATCTAGACACATCAGGTCGTGTATTGACATATTAAAAGTTATATATGCACATATCAGGCCGTATTAAAATATATCAAGCTATATAAAAACATTTTTTCACGGGCAGTTATTTTTTTTTTATTTTACAAAAAAATATCGAAGATAGTATTTTAACCTTTTATAGTTATTGTTGTATTTTTTGTGCTCTATTTTTGTTGGAATAGAATCGGGTTAACGGGTGTAAATGTGATGGTGATCTGATGGGTAACAATGACCGCAAATATATTTCCGGAGAAATTAGAAATGAAATGACTATAGAAAAGCTAGAAAATAGAATAGAAAAAACCGCTGAATCGACAGGTGAAAACAGAAACAAAAGGAATAATACGGATCACATGTACACTATCATATTCACACACATGCACATACACTCATACATACATTTATACATTCATACTTGATTCTGATGCTATTGATGTTGATGCGCCCGCTGATGCCGATGAGCGTCAAAAGTAACCGTACAGAATAAAAATAAAAATAAAAATAGAGGCTGGAGGTAAAAAAAAAGAGAATTTTGAAATAAATGAAATGAAACCAAATACAGGAGTAACTAGAGGGGCATCCGTTTTAATTTGCTCACTGTAGCACTAATATTTACGCAAGCCTGAAATAATTAGCATCTCGTACACACCAACGGTACTTGCAAACAAAAAAAACCAGCAATTGCAAATTCCAATTACATTATTCTCGCACATCTGTGTGATTTATACCGCGTTCAAATTTCCCGAAGTTAATTGCGTTCATGTTTGCTTCATTTTTATAACAACGTAATCACTCTCGTTCATTAGCGCCTTTTGTGCTGAAGGGAACTTATACCGAACTTGAATGAATATCAATAAAATAAAATAATAAAGACAAACAAATGAAAAAAAGCTCAATAATAAATAAAGTTTAGCCAAATGTAAGCCGATCGCGCGGGACTGCTCGAATGGACAAGCGCATTGACAGCTGAGTCGTAAAACAATGGGACTGTAGATTGAACTGCAATAAAAATTCGATGCGATCGTTCACCCTTTTATTTGTAGTCCATCCATTTTTATATTAGACAGTACATCTACTCTAATACCTCCGGTTAAACCATAAAGAATCACTCAAACAAATTTTTCCGATCCTCGTTCAAATCCAGACTGATGTAATCTAAAATCGATCGTTTAGAAAATTCAAACTGCTGTAACGCGAAAATCGCGTTTGCAAAATAGACATTTAGTTTCAAAAAGTTTTAGTGTTAATGTTGAAGTATAAGAATGTTGAAAGCTGAACACTGAAAGCACATCGATTTGTTGTGACACACATGTGCTCACGCCTCGTTTCACCATTCTGCTTTACTTGTTAAAAACTTATTGACTTGTTCGATAAGTGCCGGATAAATGAGTAATAAATAATAGAGGATATAGATGGGGTGAACATGGCCGCCTTAGTACCAGCATCAGCTTTAACTTTAACATGAGTATGTGTATGTGGGTGGGTGTGTAAAATATAAAATCAGAAGATAATTTAACTGGGAGGGATAAAACAAAGAAGGATTATATTATAGCTGACGGAAATTGCCAGTCGGAGACTCTCGACCCTGTTATCTTTAATGAGCTCTTTTAACGAACAAAAATCCATTTGTAGAGACACCGTTTTATGAGGATTTTTATTTTAAAATATATTGCGATGGCTATCAAGCTCCAAGTAGTCTTTGGTCTATAAGGTTAAGGCCAACGAGCTGCTTCAATTTTATAAATCGTTAAGAAACTTATTTCGGTCGATGGAAGCAGCAAAGAATTTTATCATTTTTAATCTTTTGAGGTTTACGTTAAATTTAATGCCATGATTTTTGGCATTATAATTGAAATTTATGTGCAAATATGACTATGTAGATATTGATTTAGATTTTGGGGGATTGTTGTTGGGACATATTAATTATTTTATGCAATATTGACATCAAAATTTGTTCCGGTATGAAGTATGTAAATAAATAATTGATTACTTTGCAGATGTCTGATTACAAAATCAACAATGATGAAATAACCGTGTAATTTTTTATTATTATGTATTAACCTTTTGTACTTTTATGATATTATGAAGAGTTTTTAAATTAATTGAATAAAAAATGAGTATCAAATGAATTGAAAAAATTAAATATTTATGGAATGTAAAATTTTGTTATTAAAATACATGATAAAGAATGAAGTTAATTATCTTTGTAAAACGAATTAAATTTTGTTGTAAGCTTCAGAAATGTGAGAATAATGTTATTATAATTAAATTGAATACTTATAATAATAACTGATAATACTTTTGTATTTGAAAAGAAGTAACATCTGTAATTTACAAAGTTTTCAAAAAAAAAAAAAAAGATTTACTGATAGATTTTCATACCATGAAAAAAAGGAATAGAGTTAATGCTTAAAGCGGGATAGAATCTTTATCTGACTCTGTACTCAAGACAGTGTATAATTCGAGGGGTCTTCTGTGTATATAAGAAGATATAATTAATAAAATTTTTCCTCGGCTTAAAAACTTATTAATTGGCACTTCATTGTTACGATAAGTGTTATTTTTGCAATGATTATAATTTATAATTAACTGCTTCCGTTCTGGGCTTAAGTGTAGCGTAATGAAGGACTTAAAAGCGTTCAGCGGACCGATTTTTGGAATAACTGTGTATTTTTTTACGTACTCAATCGATTATTGAAGCGGGCGAGATAAATTTTTTTAACCATAAAATGTTAATTAAAGAATTACCAGGCACTTTGATTTAAATAAAACTATATCGGGTGACAAATGCCAAAAGAGCGAACAAATTTTTTTTTCGCTAAAAGGGCGATCCGCCTTTCTAAAAATTTTTTTTTTTATTGATGTTTTGATAGTTTTTAACAAATTTGACTTGAATAATAAAAAAAAAAAATTTTATACGCTCATTTGGCTCTTACCATACGATATTTTTAATTAAAACGCAATGGATTAAGTGAAAGCTTTCGATTGGTGGATTGTTGATGCGGATGTTTGAAATAATTTCAATTGATTCAACTTTGATAAATAACTAGAATTTAACTTGATTTTATTGAGAACAATGCAACAAGTTTTGAGAGATTTTAATTGTTTTTTTTCTGTCGAGCATTTTTTTGTAAGTAAATACGCAAAATAGTCCAAATATAAGTAATGATAGTAACAATTCACAGAATTAATTAAAAATTAAACCATCTATTTATTAAAGCCGTGATTCCGTGGATTTTAGGGAATGATAGCAGACGCATTAAAAGTACCACGTGTAGAGATACGGGTCGGTCTTTGCCTGCGCTTATAAAGCGACCAGTACTTGCTCATATTTAATTCATGGAGCAGGACGCATTCGCGCAACACTTTCGTCCCTTGATAACGTCCGCAGACCCTTCGTCTGTGTATAAAATTACTGTATATACGGTGCCGCCCAACGTTTCCAACCCGAGCAACGTCGGCTGAAATTTAAACGGCTATTCTCCGTACAGCCGTTGACAAACTCATACTCACTATGCGAGCTAATATATATGTACGCATTAAATTGTGACTGAAATAATATGTTGGTTCCACATGACCGAATGACGAAAAGGAGAAGGAATTTAACCTCTTTTTATAGAAATAATAAAAATAATTCTTAATTACAAGACTAAAAAAATTGTTGCTAAATTTTGAACGGACAGACAGATTATTTTTTTAAAATACCGTCACTTCTAGCTGTGTTACCTTTAATACTCTTTTAAACACGCGACCATTTTTCAGTTCTTTTTTTTACACTCAACAATTTAGCTCAACTATATATCAAACCGCATACAGAGTGGATGTACATTGAGTATAAAGTATAAAGTATAAAGGGTAAAGCTCGCGCTAGAGCAAAAGACGAGAATGTAAAACTATTTACCCTGTCGAGACGTTTGAATAATAACCTGACATTCGCAACGAAATTCGCGGATATATATTTTCACACCGGTAAATTTTTTCATTTTAAATCTTATTACTGCTTTCTATACTTCCTCCTATAGTTAATATATATTTTATAAATTACATGTTACCGTTTCATTTTACCAACGGTAACCATAAATATACTCCGGGTTGAGATTTTACTGTTTCAGATAATACCACTACTGCACCGAAAGCTTACAAAGGAACAATATAAGCTGGTGTTTATTCAGCATCCCGATTTTCGGTCTCGAAAGACTCACTAGGATAAAACCTCACTGTTCTCGGTGTTGGAGATGTGTGAGGGTATTAATTCTATATGTACAAAGATGTGTATATCTCAATGAATAATACCATGCGATTATATTGTATTGTATTATATTATTTTCTATTATGTGGTCACCGTGAAAATATCCGATGTGGAAACCTCAATGAGGAATAACTACATGAACTTTTTTTTAATTAAAAAACATAATTATTATTATTAGCAAAATGGTTACCGAAAAATATTTATCATATAAAGATAAATATATCAGAGACAAAATTTTTCTTATTCTCTTACTTATATAAATTAAATTGAATTTATTTTGATACTTGCATCTATGGACACTTCTATCATCGGATATTTACACCTTATATAAAATATTATTATTAGCTTTACCTCTGTCTCGGGTGACTGAACAATAAGCGAGGTCCTGGGCGGTTTCTCAGGCGGAACTTTCTTGAGAGTTCCAGAAAAAGTGACCCCGGTGGCAGAAGCCCCAGAGGTCACATTAATAGTATTCGAGGATGAACAAGACGAAGCAGAAGAGGGACAACTAGCAACAATGTTGTCTGTCGCGTCAGCCGACTGGCACATCAATCGATACTGGTGTGAGCCGCGTGTCCCGTCGTTTCTCTCAAACTGGGAGTTAGTCGGCAATGTAATTTGTGAGCGCTCCAACTCAGTCTCAACTTGAATGCGCGGTGATAATCTCTCGGACGTCAGTGATTGACACATTTGATTGGTGAACCCCGCTGACAGATACGCCGAATTACGATTCAGTAGATGCTGATCCATCATTTGCTTGCTCAGTGGCTCCCCAGGCTGGTGTTGCTGCTGCTGCTGCTGGTCAATAACCTGGTCCGCGAGGGCCTTCATCTGCATGTGGTGCATGTCATTGAAGGCGTTCTTTTGCTGGAGCTCGATCGCTTGCCTCAGAGATTTCTCAGTGGCCTGTCTATCCTGCAGACATTGAAGTCGTGACTGTAGATCGCTCTGCTGATGCTGATACTGATGATGAGCAACCTGGTCCAAAAGGTGGTTCTGGTTCTGCAAGCACTGGAGCCGCGCCTGGAGGTCACTTTGCTGCCTCTCAAACTGGCTGAGCTTCTCTGCAATCATATCCAAACTTTGCTGTTGATGCTGCTGCTGTTGTTGAGAATGATTGCACTCTGTCTTATCCGGAATGTCTCCCAACCCCGAACCAGACTGCAAATTCTCAACCTGGCTCTTGCTGTGCGTTAACAAGCACGCCGATATATTGTGGCTTTTCTTGTGGCTGTGGATTATGTGGTCGGTTTGCTCGAGCGGCTTCATCGGATTATCACCGGGGAAATCCGTAACAACAGTTAGCAGCGTCTTAGTGTCTAGCTTGGCTTCGCTCATCGCTGGGAACTGGTGACACAAATTCGGGCTGGCACGCTGAGACGAGCTGGTACTCACACCAGGGCCCAGATTCGCAACAGATCCCGAAATTGGTTGATCCTCGAAATCCTTCCTGGAGAGCTCCATGTGTTTGGTAAGATCAGCGCTGACATGTCTCAGATGTCGTCGCTGCTCCATAATCGTGTTCTGACTGATGTTGGGAATCGGCTGGAACGCCACTTGGGGAACCCTAATGTCTTTGTTTCGCTGCTCATCCAGCGGAATCATCACCCTACGTTCTTCCGAGGGATTTCGGGAGCGAGGACTAGTCGCAAAGATCGGATTTGGATGCATAGTTCGCTCGACTTCGTGACGCTGTCGCTGCTCAGCCCAGATAACAAGTTCCTGCCTAGTTTTCTCGAAGTTTTGATTGGCTGGGATCGGGTACGAAGGGCTATTTTGAGCGACTCTCTCACAGGAGCTGTCACGAACTGATATGAAAGGCATAGGGGATCGTCTCAAGTCATCCATGCGTTTCTGATCAATCACAGGCATAGGAGACCGCCGATGTTCCTCAAAGTAGTCTGATCGCCGATTTTCTTGGGCGATAACTGGATTCGGACGTTGATTAGGGCTGACATTCCCCCACTCAGGTTTCCTGTTGGTTATGTCGGACATCACGCTCTTTCGATTTTCCTGTCTGTCGTAGGGAACCGTCGCTACTCTGAGAACTGGATCACGTTTGTTGTCGGTCTGGAAAATTTGGCTCATATTATCGGCAGTCCATTTTTTGTCGCTCAGTCCAGATGGGGGTTTCCTTGCGGTCAACAGAGACGTGTCTCCAGTATCTCCTGGGAAGGTGAAAGTAATAGTGTCATTTCTACGAGGAAAACTAGCAGTAGTCACGTCGGACACAGATTTGCGATGTTCGTTCCGGGAAACATATAGGCAGTCGTTGGGTATCGTGTCGACGATTGTGTCCCTCATTGACTGATCTCCGCTCGAATCGATGTATAAACCGTCCTGACGTGTTCGAGGAGTTTGATTAACTGGCGCTGAAAAAGATCGACTGTCTGATACAGAAATTGGAGTTGCTGATTCTTGTGAAACAGGAGGTGCACTTTGATTAACACCAGCATTAGCTGTACCAATACCAGTAACAGTACTGGCGTTAATAGCAGCAACAGAAACAGCACCAGCATTTGCATTAGAATTAGCAGTAGTAGAGACTGGTTTGGCCACCGGGATCTCGGTGATTGATTTTCGATTTCCGGCGTCGCTCGAGATCTTTGAGTTGATCCGAGGCGGTACCATCGGCTTGGGGCCACGTGTTGTACTGCTGTTAACAGATCTGTCAACCGGCGCAATAACGTTTTGTGCAATCGACTGTATGATGGGCTGACCTTGATATTGGGATACCTCCTGAGAATATCTCTGCGGATTAGGGGAAGTTTGTTGATTGAACTGCTGAGCCGTGTACATAGGGGCATGTGGATTGTATGGTATCGGATTAATCAAAGTCTGTGGATATTGTCCGTAGGTATACTGTGATTGTCCAGCAAATTGGCCATAACTCTGGGACACAGAAGGCTGGGCGGTCATTATAACACCTGGATAAAAACCCGGTTGGGGACTCACTGACTGTGATGCGTGCTGCAATTGAGAAGCATGCTGGACTGTTACATACCCAGCATTGGCTCCGGTAAACACCGGATTACCGGTACCTTGAGCGTGAGCGTAAAGCGATGAATCCCTGTACGTGACGTCTCTTGTCACGTATCCCACGCGATCTCCGTATTGACCCTGCTGGTTGTACATCTGCGATCTGACCTCAAATTGACCACGAGCTTGCGGGTACTGGCTCTGACTCTGATCAGGGACAAAATCCGGAACAAAGTGTGGCTGGATTTGCACCGGCAGGGTCTGAGTTGCCGTTTGCGATACGTGGTGCTCCAACCCGGACTTGTCCTGATACTGCTGCTGCTGTCGATCCTCTGGAAGTGGTTGAGCCAGTCGTCCGGGAGTTGGGTAGACACCTGGTTGGGATACTGATGAGTAATCTGGAGCCATTGATGGCACCTGCTGCACCGATACAACGTTGGGGACACTGCGTTCATAGTCGACAGTCCGATTCTCGAAGCCGTTTGATAGGTCACCTTTGGACTCAGCTTTGATCCCGTTTTGGCTCGGACCATTAGACTGATGGTGTTGTGTGTCGCCATTTTCGGTCTGGACAGTGCCATTGTGGTGGTCTCCGGAACCTGACTGTGACATTGCGGCCCCCACCGACGGTCTTCCGCCGATGTAGCCGAGGATTCGCCCTAATCCACACACTGTGCCGGCTTGCAAGCCACTTGGATTGACTTATCGTAACAACATAAACGAAGCCAAAACTAATCGGCTCTATATTGTGTGAAAAATTTTTTTAGTCGATGGATGAAATTTTTAGAGTGCAGTTGAGGAATTATTGGAAATCTTCAGCTTCTTTTGGACCGGCTTCAACTCGATAATTTTTTCATCGATTCTCCCGAGTCGGGGTAGTAATGCTTCAAAGAATATAATATCTGGTTTTCAAACGTACGCCGGGCAAAGAGAATAATTCAATTCCAAAGATAGATGGAGAGTGGTAGATCTTGTTGAACTTTTTTCACCGATATTTTTATTCTCTTTGCTCCTCTCTCCTTACTCGTCTTCTTTTTCAACGCACAAATAGATTTATGAAGAATGCTTTTTGTCGTGATAAGTTTCATGCTTTTGTAAACAGCATAAAGTTGATTTTGAATTTACACTCGACTGGAATTTTCTCTCTGCTTACTTTTTCTCTTATTTCTTTCAATCTTTTTGTTACTATTTGTTAAACAGTACTTTAAAAGTATAATATTCATTTATAAATTCATTTTCCAATAACTATTGTATCAATATAAACGAGTCAGCAAAGAACATAGCTGTTGATTCTATTTATCAAGCAAATATTTCCTTTAAATAAACATTTTGATCCCAGTGACTCTTCATGAGTTCTAATGTTTTATCAATAAACGACCCTTTGATGTGATTAATAAATCGACATACAGGTATATATATTATATTATAAATTACTGTCAATTAACTTTCTTTTGAGCGCTGACTCGTAATTAAAGCTACTCGACATCAAATCAAACTAATAGTTTTCATAAACATTTCATAGTTTCGACAATTCGGATACCGAAATTTCGTAGTATTACCACGCACAAGCTCAGCACAAATAGAAACACATTTTCGATAAAAGCACTGTGTTGTATGTTTTATACAACACCCCAGTACCGATAAAATAACCCATCCACTATTCCGTCAATGTCATTGTCAATCTTGTTAAATTTTAGTCGAGTTTTCTCGTCCCAGTTGACACTGCGTCCACTGGACTGGTTGACGTCCCTGTAAATTATTTTCCAGCCACACCCTGACGAGTTTATCTGCAAAATACAACAAATATTCCGGTTGCTCACATAAATGCTTAACTTGGCACTTATACGAGGCGGTAGCAGTAGCGGTGGGATAGCTCGTTATGCGCTGATTGTGCTCTCACGATCAATATACATAAGACTTCATTCACCCTTAATCCTAAGCTCGTCTTGGCAAATCAACTTGAGTTAATTACTTCTTTATTACAATGAATGATTATTTCGATCATAATCATTATCATTATCATCAAAATAATAATTTTATAGATGGGATTAATATATGCATATTAGAGACACGTATTCATTCAATGAAAAATAATGTCAAAATTATAATAAAAATGAAAATAATAATATCTAAACCCAAAAATTTTTTATTGTAACTTTAAAAGTTGCTTCAATAAACATAAATTGAATTGCATTAGAGTTTTAGAAAGCTCTAAGTCATCCTCTATCGAAAACTAAACTAATTAACCTCTGTTAGTCTACAAGTCATCGGTTGATTGGAAGTTGGAAGCTTCGGTCTAACAACCAAACTCTACTAACATTGGCTGACATCAAACAAAATGATAAAGCTCGCTGGAGAAGTTAGGTATTCATTGCCGAGCAATAATTTTAACGCAATATTCCGTCTAATGGAATGGTATATATACTAAGGAATAGAAGCTACCTTGAGATCCAATCACCAAAGCCGATTAAATCCGATAATGTGAACTTGGGAACCGTCACAGCAAGATTCAAGCTCCCAGCAAACGAATAGCGTATCCCAAAGCAGTTAGGACCAGTTGAGACTGCCGGCATTGCACGGTTTTGGACTAACAAACAGCATAGCAGACCAGAAACCCACCTACAATCCTAATATCTACTCGCTCGCACCAGATCCCTGGTCCAAATCCCAATTAATCGCCGAGACCACTGATCTATCGATCCTCTACCGCGATATCATGGTAATTCCGCAGTGATATGTCGTACGTCATGCAGCGAGAGATGGTTATACCGGTTGGTAGATGATAGTTGGTCCTCGGGCGACACATACGTCATCTATGTTTGCACGGTGAATATTGACTTTCACGAGCTTTTTCCCATTTTTACACTATTTTGTTCTGGATTCATTCATTTTTCCGAGCTCTCGGCCTTTCGAGCCTGCATTTCAATCGAAATCGGAATCTACTTCATCGGATCATCTGTAGAATATTTATGTTCTAATGGAAAACCAACTCGTAACTCACAGATCAGCCTTTTTTGCGTGAACTATCTAATAAAAATGATTTATATTGTCATTTATTTTCAACAATTAACACCGACACGCAGTTGGAAAGTTTTTATTGATTTTAATGCACTCAACGAATATCCAGTCAACGGAACGTTAATTCTCTGGGAAATTGACAAGATCATTTTTGATTTATAGAGAAGTATTATTAAAGTAATGTCTACAAATTTTAACTCATCCAGAAGTTCAATTTCACCATTTTTCAATCCCGAGCAAGTCTGTCGTCGAACGAAACAGCAATTTTTCAACTGCTCTTTTTTCGATGTACTTCAACAAGATAGGTCTTATCTATTCGGTAGTTATGTTATTTTTTACTCGACGTCAGCTGGAATTGAATGACGGGATGGATATTCACCGTGAGTTTCTCGGTAATAAGCAAAAAGCATTGAGAAACTAAGTTACGATGAGCAGCTCTCGAGCCAGTCAGAAGATATCTTAATAAGGATCGCCTCAATGGAAATCTCTTGATTCCGATTTCAAGTATCTATAATTCTCTGGGACTGAGTGCTTCGGACAATAGAAATCGACGGGTAGTCCAGAGTACAGCAAAGATCATTAGGACGTTCCGGCGATTACTGCCGAGCCACTACGAGATTTACTGTAGTGCCTTCTCTGCCTTCCCCGGTACGAATCATTACAAAGTAATGAGAATTTACAGATCCGGTACAGCGGTACAATAGACACTCTGCTTTTGCAGTACTATACATATATTTAAAGAATAGTAATGGCTCTTGACTGCCCGTTGTAAACTAACACGAGTAACTGATACGCTTGACCTTCGCTGAACCTCTTCAGCGAACCCGATGATATGTGAAAACATCACATATCATACCTTTCACCCTCAGAGATATTACATGTAATTTTTTTCCATCTACAAATGCTTCATTTTTTCGATCTCCAGAGTACACACTCGTTCATCCACGGTTTCAATAGTTTTTTTTTTTTTTTTTTTTTTTTTTTATGAATTCAATTCCTACATTCGAATTTTTTTGCCTCTTCTTCTCTTTCAAATATTATTAAATAGATAGGAATTTTTTCCGAGTTATCAGGTGTAGCCTCTAACAAATCGATAAGAAATTTATAGAATATAATTCAGCCGCATTAATATATATCAGCAATAAAATTCAACTTTTTTTTAGCTCAGAAATAACCGTACGGAAAAAAAAAAATTTATGTTTATGACGACAATAAATTCACGCGAATATTTTCCATCAGGCACAAACAACCGTCACCTCAATGGCATATGAGCCGCTGACACGCCCGGAAATAGCTGATAAAATGTCGGTTGATATTTTTCTCCGGGAAAAGTATGCATGCGAGAAATTGATATTTCATCGTTTGCTGTTTTCACTACTAACTGCGCTGTAGTACTACTGCAGTAGTATTATTGTACAGGGAAATAAATATCGAATGAAGAAAAAGAACCCACTATTCCAAGGCATTGCATTTCGATATTACCGATACGAACAGAACGGTTTCCAGTTTTGTGCAATGTCTTTGTACTTGGTACATGAATATTTTATGGGTTACGAGTTATGGCGGAAGTGAATGAAAATTTTTAAGAAAACATTCCGTCACCAGCATACCTCAAAAGAATCATCGTAATGCGTTGTCGTATTTTCGCATCGTCAATTCCAATAACAAAACTTCTACTGATTTTTTTTTCTGATGAATAGAAGGTTCGAAAAAAATAATATCCAGAGAAAAATAGTCTCAGCCTTTCACACTTTTATGAAAAAATTTATACGCGAAAATGAAGACGGAATATATATTCTGAATATAATTTTGAGTTATCGTTTTTGTTATACGTTTCGAAGAAATGTTTCAGTCTATAAAAAATCCATCCGATTTTTTATTTTTCATAGAAAAATAAATATTTTTTATAGAGATGACAATAACCTGACCCTAAGAAAGACCCAAGGATTTCTGGGTTAGTAGTGAAATAAATTTCCGCGAAATCGCAAAATTTTTTTCACTCATGAATAAACTAATGATTCAATTAAACGCCGGCAGCCGTCGACTTATTCCGACAGCGGTTCGATATTTTATGCCAGCTAAGCAAGAATTCATATTTATGTACTTCCTCAAGCGAAAAGACATTCACCAAACAAGAAAAACCAACTCAGCCATGTAATTTATTTACTTCTTCACATATGTGACCTACTTTTTACGCCATGATTGAAACAAATTTTCCACGAATGCAAACACGCTGTGGCGGAAAAAGTCCACCAGACGCCGAAAAAAAATTAAAAAGCCGACGAATAATTTAATAAAGTGAATTTAGTAAACTTAAATTTAATAATTTACAAAGTAAACTCAAGAGAGTACACAATATTATAATTTCAATTAAAATAGAGATTGTGATTGTAATGTAGAGTCGCAATTTCAGTTTCCTATTTCCAGTTTCTAGATCCTAGATCCTCGATGTGGTAACCAATTTCTAATTAACCTAATAGATAGGTACATATTATTCCGGCGGGTCTATTGTACATTTTGTTCTCTGTTTGCTCAGCTCTTCCGCAGTCTCGTCTGTAACCTGGAGAAGTTTACCGTCCTAATCTGTCTTTACA